ATGCTAAGGTTTCTTTCTTCTCTTTAAGAGAAGGGAACCAAACATCTCTAAGGTTTTCCCCCACAGCTGTGTATACTGTATGAATATGTATAGGCCATCAACATCCACTAAGGGCCCAGTAATAAATCTACTCAAGCCAGCATATATGGATGATATGCTTCTACTAATTGTCTGTGTGTATTATCAGAGGCCACAGAGGCCTGGCAGAGAACAGCAGTTAGGTCCCTTAACTGTCTATGCCTGACACATAAACGAATACACCAACACAAATTCAGTCCAACAATTACTGTATATACACCCACATAAGAAAAACAAAAAGCAAACACACAGCCATATGAACAGTGGCTACACACCTACTGTACCTACTAGCATGCATAAACACGTGCACTCACACACAAACACTCCTCCCCATAGTGGAGATGCATAAGTAATGTCTTCCATTTTAAAGGTCTTGTCACAGAGCAGTAGACATGTGGAGGGGTAGAGGGGAACTCAGCTATCCAGGGGCCAGGGGCCTGCCTGCCTGCTTCCATAGTGTGTGTATGTGTGTGTACATTATATAGAGAAGAAGACACTTGGCTTCTGCCTTGTGGGTTTAATTAGCAGTGGGTTACAGACACCAACGTTCAGGTTAGGGGCTGAGCTTGCCATTTTAACATGGAGCCTGCTTTCCTGCCAGTAATAAGAAGAGTGAAGTGGTGACAGAGTAGAAAAGTTAAGTGCATGTGTGGCAGCAAGTATCAGTGTTTGTGTATAGTTTGAGTGCATCTTATTGCGGTGGGAGGACACTGATTTAAAAGAGTGTATATGAGGTCAAAATAAGGTGCACAAGAGACATATATGCTGGTGACAAAACATTAAACTGGATGTGAGAATCAAATTGTTGTTAAGCTGAGTACATGTAGTGGAGGTTCTGTACAGACAAATATGACTTTATAAAGCTAAACAAATAATACATGTGAAGTAGCTAAATGATCAAGCATCAATTGGAGAATCTGTGTTCTATGTTTATCATAAAGGCTCCATGCAAAAATATCTCCAGCACATGCATTATAGCCTTATTGTTTTTTTCCTCTCTTTAACTAACACAAATACACATACACACACACGAGCTCCATGACTCAAAAAACATTCCCATGGATGTGATTTCATTTTGAACTTCAGAGAACTAATTCAGAGTGCCAGCCACCTCGGGGCTACCTTTTCCATGTGAGAACACTTAAAAGTGCAATGAAGAGCTATTAAATGCTGATCTTGACAAGTTTCTTCATGCAACAAAACAACAGATGACTAAACGTATCACTGCCGCAGAGCCGAGCTCCTACAGCGTGTTATGAGACTCCAGCTTGACTTCGGTCTCCCTCCACCTCCCCGCATATGTAACCCACACCCAACTACCAACATCTAAACTGTCATCTAAATCTGACACTTGCTTTATGTAACCCTGTTTAAACTGTGTGTGTGTGCATGCATCGGTATGTGTGTAGTCGACTGGCATCTCTGGAAACATAAAAGGACTCTCTTTGACACAGACAATCACTGCTCCAAGGCACGCCACCGAGCAGCCATCTTTGTTCTGATGACGAGCCTGCCTTCTTTGTTGGTGTCTGTTCAAAGAAACTGTTCTGTTTTGTAGCAGTCAATGTTCTAGCAAGCATTCTTCCAAAACCACCTGCCAACCTATGCTCCCGCTTTCAAGTTTTGAATTCTACCCGTTTTCTCTCCTTCTGTCTTTGTTGCTCTGACAGTTTGTCTTTACAACCACACATCCTTTTTGCATTGGCTTACCAGCTTACTGGATTCACACATCGCTTTATACAGTGTATCTCCGCTCCTTGCCTAAATAACCAGCTAAGCTGCCTAGATGCAGTATCCTTAGAGCACACAGACCTATGTCTGTTTGTGTGTGAACACAGCATATAGTGCAGAGAGATAAACTGATGTCTTCTTTAAGTAAGTGTACCTAGGTGATAGGACAATATATCAAAAAACCTGCTAATCTGATATTGCCTTGTCTTCTCACACACATATCTGTTCCAAAGCTGGAAGGCAAACTCTTCTACCTGGACTAATGTACATCTAGTCCAAGCTGAACAATGAATTGTCCATAGCAAACTGGCTTTTCATAAAAATTCATACTAAAATCATATTAGATGATGCCTATGGCTGTGCTCTAGAATATTAATACTGACACTGCACAAGTATATGGCACATTTTCCAGAGGATGAGCAAACACATGTAACATGCTTTAGTTTAAATGTATATTCACTTCTGATTCATTTAAATCAATCTTTGTCAATTGGGAGTATTCTTTGTGTGAAAATGTAGCCTAATATACTGTGACTGACAGTGGATTAGAAACACTGGTATTAGAGTTGTTTCATTCCACAGATACAACATTTAGCTTTAATTCACAGGCTGCTGTAGAATTAAGCAAAAGTCTGACCTACATCCTACAGCAGATCCCCCATAGGTGGACTAGTTTCTTGTTTCAGTCATTTCTTTAGCTTTTTGCAACCTATTACAGACCATACAGTAGAAAACTGCATAATTTGGAAAATACGCCAGAACAATATTCTGATTTCAAGAGTTTATTCGAATTCACATGGACATTTACAGCCCATGAAAAACACTCACCAGATCGTTATTTCACAGTTAATTACAAATGTAATTAGAATATTCAAATTAAAGCTTTCCCTTTCCTTTCTTCTCTGTGTGAGAGCAGGGAACCAGGAAAAGAGTGATAATGAAAGAGAGAGGGAGGAAGAGAGACTCTCAGTGAGTGGCAATGTGATAACCTGTAATCGGCAGTGCTGCAAACACTTTCTTCCTTTGATGTCCCCCAACTAACATCCTGGCAACAAAGCCGGCCAATTACAAATGAGCTAATTAACTAAATTGTTGATGGAGCATGAAGCGTTCATTCGCTCTGGTGCCTGCGCCATGACAACAGTGAATGGGGGCCTTTGTTGTGGAGGTAAGTGTGCGGCCGTGCGAGTTGCCATTAGCCTCTGACGCTTTTTTCCACAAACCTATCAGGCCTTTCCACGCCAGGAAGGAAATTTGTGATGGATCAGAGCTGGTTTGAATCCTGTGCTACTAGAGCTGAACCCTGTCAACTGGCTGTCTGGAAGGTCAAAATGTGCTTTTTGAAAAGTGATGTTTTGTTCGTCAGGGTTCTCTGTACCCACAGACAGGAGGTGCTGTAGTGTAGGGGATAACTTGTTTGTGTTTCACACTAAAAACAGATATTAGCTTCTTGAATACGCACACCCACAAACAAATCACACATTATATTACATCATTGCCAGTATAACATCCTAGTGCATGTTCTTACTTTAAAAACTGTCCGAAGTCCTCACAGATGTTCTCACAGCCAGGCCACTTACACACACCGTGACCGTACAGGGGGTGGGTCCCACCGCTTTCTTCATGTAGTGAGCTAGAGCAACAAAAGAGGAACAAAAATGAATGAACAAGAAAGCAAAGAGAAAAGGGAGGAAGGTCAGGACAGTAAGAAGGGGACGGGAGCACCAAGTTCATCACAGGATCTGTAAAGGCTCGATGAGGTCTGTGTAAGGTTACATTCAGCAAGACGGACGTCCAGTCAGCCAATCTACCGTAGTGGAAATGTTCAAAATCTAGGAGAGACTTGAAACAGAACCATACACCTATACTGACAGGACAATTACATAGAAATATAAAACTGTGAGAAATAATTCAGTCACTTTAAATGATCACAATATGAAACTACATTAACTTAAAGACTGTGTAGGCTAATGTGAGTGGAGTATAAGTTCAGTTAACATCCACAATGGCTTTGTCTCCACCACAGTCAGCATCCCATCTTGTAAAGCTATTATGGGGAGGAAGGGGTGAAGGCTTTCGAGTAAACATTAAAAATCCAGACAGCCATATAATTTTCATCAGGATATTAATATTGTGTGTAACTTATGTTCTTTGAGGACAAGGGGAGCGGGGGTACTCTGGCGTTTTTCAAATGACACCCAAATACATTACGACCCTGCCTAGACAGCACATCCTATTAAAGATGACAGTTTAACCTTTAGGCCTGGCATCGGTGTATGCCTCTGTCTGTGTGCGAAAAAGTGAATAAGAGGGCATTGTGTAGTGTTCCTGTGTATTTGCCTGCTTCCAGGTTATGCCTGTGCATGTTTGTGTGTGGTTTATGCATCTGTGCATGAGTGTCTGTGTGTGTGGCCCATAAATATGTCTGTGTGTGTGTGTGTTAGTGCTGGCACAGCTCACACTGTGTTTTACAGAGGGGCTTTCCCCACATCGATCCATGGCGTGTTAGTAAGCAGTGCTCCTGACAATACTCCTTGTTCGATCATTATGAGACACCACACCCCCCTTGGGACACAGGCAGATAAAAAGAATTTTTTTTCTTCCTTCTCTTCTCATTCCCTCCCTACCTCTCTCTTTCTCTCTGACTTCACTCTAAATATATCTTTTTCAAGCCTCTTTTTAGTAGTACTGGAGAGATAGCATCTACTTTAAACCAATTACACAGCATTTCCACCTCTAGTGCGAGTCTCTACCAAGCACACACACACACACACACACACACACACATCACTACCCTAAGTCCTTATTATAATATCGCCCAAGAAAAGCCTCTGAATAATGCATGGGCCAGATAGGCAGATATGTGAATGAACAGTTAGTGTTTTGGTGCTGGGTGCATTTATAAAAGATGCCATCACAAGGATAAACATCCTGGAAACGCCACTCAAGGCATCATGAATTCTGTTTACATGACAAGCAAGCAAGGAAGGTAATTTTCAAAAGAGGAAAAAAAAAGAGAGAGAAAGTACTAAATACTTAATGTACACGGAGGTTACCTTGTCTTGCCTGCCAGAGAGGTTTGCTGTAAGCGCGTCTGCCTGTGTGGCTTCCTCTCCCTGCTTTTGATATCTGTGTGCAAGCTAAGCGCGTTCAGTGGCACACGTGGTCCCCTGGGAGAACAAGGCTCTTATTTTTTGGAATATTATCAAAATACTAATAAATTTCTGAACAAATAAACAAAACATAATATTTTGCCTGAAGCAGCAATGTTATTTTAAACGAGGACAAATACTCTAGGTGGGAGTTCTGATGTGCTCCTACAGAGAATCATGACACAAAAACAAGCTCTGTGTGATGGATAACAAACATGTCTCTGTAAACTTTTCATCTTCTTTGTTTTTTTTCCCCCTCTGTGGTGTATCAAAATGGTGGACGAGTAACGTTTCAGTAATTTTATTTCCCTTTCTCGTTCCCTTTCCCTCTCTCTTCTGTGGTTGAGAGCTGGGGACTGTCCATTGGTGATGGAATGGTGCGAGATGGGAGGCGACGCTTTGGCGGGATTGGAGGAGGAGGTAGTTGAGGAAGAGTTGTTGGTGGACAGGTCTAAACCACCGCCACCCCCGCTGGTGCCAGTGCCACTGCTGCTGTGTTTGATGCTGTTGTCCTCCATGCCATGACCGCCGCCTCCGGTCACATCCTTCCATAGCTGCTGGAGCTCTGCGGGGCTCAGACCACCTATAGAAACCAAGAGGGACAGAAAATAGATAAAAAAAGAAAAGAAAGAGAGGAAAGCAGTGGGAGGAAAGCAAAAGTGGGTTGAGTAGGAAGAGGATGACAGGGAGAAAGAGAAGGATAAAGGGACAAACTTGTCCCTTTACATTTTATTCAACAACAACAATGGCTGTATAAAGCTGCGTAACTCAAGGACTTGGCCTCAGTGACTACCATCATGTGCTTTGTCATAGCAGACCTGCAGTAAATAATAATAATAATACTGTACTGATCAATAAGGGTGTTCTGATTTTTCTTCACTTACTTAATGACATTACCGGTGAGGAGATCCTCAGTCTCAAAGATCTGTGTGTTTTCAAAAAGCAAGAACTATAAAACATTGATTGTGAATATGCTGCATCTGAGATAAACAAGCTTTGTTCGCTGCTTGTTTTCAGCATAGCAACTAATTAGGCAATTTTCACTCCTTTGATTTCCCTCTACCAACTGTTGTTGCCTGTTGTTTTCTGTCTCCACCATCTTGGTGGTAAACAATAAACATAGGTGTTTACTTGGCTCAGGAGAAGAAAATGGAGCCTGCTCCTCTCTCTCTCTCTCTCTCTGTGTCCTTTTTATTCTCGTTCTCATTGAAGGCAGTAAACAACAACAACAACCGGGGAAGGAAGACAAGTTGGGGGAGCAGGGGAATAGAAACAGAGATGGAAAAACAATAAACACAAACATAGGCAGAGCAGAGCTAAGAGAGAAACAGAGGTAGACAAAGAAAGCCATAATCAGGCATGAAACAAAAGAGAAAGGAAGAATGGAAGAAACTACAGAAAACAATCATGTGGACAGTTAGGGACAAAGTGGATGACAGAAGAGCATACCAACAAGGGGAAGGCAGACAGACAGACATACTTGGAGATAAGACTGGAGGACACAGGTGCATACCAATTAGAAAAACAAGGACAAAAGAGGAGTGGGACAGACAGATGTGGAGACACCAAACAGAAAGGGACGATGAAAGACGTTCACTCAGAAAGAAACACACCTACACACAAAACACAGGAAACATGTGACCGCCATTACAGTTTCAGCAAGTCATGTGCTCAGGATCAAAACGACTACACCCAACACTTCCCCTTCTCCCTCTTCCTCCACTCCATGTCTTCTCCTCTTACCTGGCGGGGGCAGAGTCTGTCCGGGCAGGGCAGCTTGGCCAGGAGCGGGCCCAGGCAGTGAGAGCAGGCCCTGCCGCTGCATGTTGAGCAGTATTTTTGCTGTTTGTTTGTTTGTTTGTTTGTTTTGCTCAGTAAATCCTAACCACCGCACAGCTGCTGCTGCTGCTGCTGCTGTTGCTATAGAGAGGAGGAGGAGGAAGAGAGGAGCAAAGAGAGGAGCAGAGAGGAGAGGAGCGGAGTGGAGAGGAGGGAGGGAAAATTACAGACGAATTTACAACTGAGAGATAGGGAGAGGAGAGCGAAGATGGAGGGGTGTTTGTTTTGTGCTCTGTGTGTGTGTGGAGGGTCTGCACTCACTTGCCTCTGCTGTGACCTTAGCTATACCCCTCTGTCTCTTCTTCTGCCTCTCTGCCTGCTCTCCCTCTCTGCCTGTACTCCTGTGTTTTTGGACTGTACCACAGTGCTGTTACTTTCGTTCCTCTTTGTGCATGTCCATGAGCACATGTACACAAACAAATACAAAGCTGTGCTGATACACCAGCTCTCAAGCCTGCCAGTTTATGTGCCTTATGATTGTGTGTGATACTAAGCCTCTGCTATAATCCTCCACCCCACCCCTGATAGTTAATTGTCTTGCCTTCACTGATGGTCTGTTACAGCTTATGTGAGCAGGGGGATCCGGCAGAATGAGAGATTTACAGTATCACATGTGTGTGAATGCACAGACACAAATGCAAACACACACATGCACGCACACACATGCACAATGCCTCCCCCCTCTTCCATCCTGTTTCTGCTCTACTCACTGCCTCACAGAGTTGTTTATTGCTTGGCCAAACAGGCAATTGTGTAAGCTCTGTGCAAAACGACAACAAAAACAACAACAACATGAAAAACATCAAACTCAGTCACCACAGCAAAGCAAACCTGAGAGGGAGTGAATTTTAGAAAAACAAAAGCTTTGACTTTTGATTCCCGGCATGTCCAGAACACATGTCAAAGTGTCCTTGAGCAAGACACTGAACCCCCAGTTACTCCCTCTGATGACACCAGCGTGTGAATGTGTGACAGTGCGAATGAGTGAATGGCCAAATAGCGAGAAAGCGCTTTGAGTGTGCTGCATAGAAAAGCACCATACAAGTATAAAACCATTTATTTTAAATTATTAAACACACAGATAACTCAGGTAGTAACTGGTTATAAGTGCATGTATTTAGTCTTTTTACAGGTGATGTCATTTTGATTTTTTTCCATTTCTGTTTGTATACAGCAGGTCATGCTCATCTGTTTATGTATGGCTGTATCATGGTGGACCTGGAAAATTACTGTGATGGGGGTGGGGGTAAAACTTGTGATGCACTCACTAAAAAACAGGCTGCATAATAGAGTGATGGCAGGAGGCAGTTTGCTCCCCCTACACCTCCACCCTGCCTCAAGAGAAATAAGGAAGCAATTTCTATTCCATATTTGATAGCGGGGCCCCTGAAAAACTCCATTCACAAATCCAAACAGAAACAAAGCCGCCGGGAGGTCAGTTGCACCTTCCTGTAGGGGCAGCATAATGGGCTGCTTGAGGAGCCACTCAGAGGTGTACCACACACACACACAGACAGAACAACAGGGTGTGTGTGTGTGAGATACTTTTATTTCTGATCAGTTTAGCTTCTTTCATACAGCGTTCTTTAGATGTGTCTCTAGACTGGCTCTCTGGGTTCAGCACTAACATATTTAAGCAATATAACCAAGGCTGTCCCTTCTGTGACAGGCACAGAGAATGAGACAGAGCCACGTATGTCAACAGGCTGCATGTCACTGTGATTTATGAGCATCGTCCACTGTAACTTTAGCAATGGCGTGTTTGTACACTCACAGAAGCGGTTCATTAAGGAGCTGGACCCCAGACCCTTTTTGTCTGGTCTCCTTTCTATAAATCAGTGACTGTGTATGTATATGTGCATGCATTGCATTTGCGACTGCCACTTGAAACTGTTTATTAATGGAATTAGTACTTGTATCTCCATACTGCATGAAGGTAGCAGGAACAGTGACAAGACAGTTTGCTGTCGGTGTGTGTTATGGGATTAATCCAATACAGTATCATGTCTAACAAATCAACAAGTTCAATGGGTTCATTTGTGGGGAATACATGTACTTGTTTGAGAAGTGGTTTATGGTCTTCATCCTAATGTATGTGGACTACATTTACTGTCATGTCCCTCTTTGATGGGTTTGAAGTGCACTTTTCTATGTTCTTTGAGTCATTTAAACTTTTATGTGAGTTAACGATAGGTTGTGTAAATATCTGTGTATGGTGCACCTGTACTGTACCTCTTTAGCCTGCTTGCCTGGGTGTTGCTGCTGAAGAAGTTGAAGATGAAGCTGTTCCTGCTGTTTCTTATAAAACTCCTGCAGGTGTTGCTGTATACCCACACACAGACACACACAGAAGGGTAAAAGAGAAGAAGGAGAAATACATATGTGTCTTAAGCACACTGTTCTTTTTAACATAACGCTAAATAACTCAGTAGTATTTACAGGCTTCAGGTTCTTTTCAGTGTTATAAATTACCTGACTCAGCAATTTTGCGGATGCATAACTAATAACTGGTTTACATGCAAAACCCCTCAAAGTAGATCACTTTACATTAATTACACATTTTCTCCTAATCTTGCACAAGTTCAACTCCAGCTGCATGTCACATGTTGGTTATGCAAACATTGTTGCATATTGTAAATATATTTCTACTGATTCTGCAGTCTGCTCTTGCTGTCTTCCACAGTTTTCTCTATAAGGACTTTTAATAGTCCCAGAGTTCTTTAGGAGGCAACAATTAATTATATGAACTATGCATTTGGCTGCCAGAGTGCTCTGACTTTCTTTCGAGCAGCTGAAATACAAACCCTCGGAGGAACAGCTTCACGGTACCGAACTATTTCCTTTAGACTGCTCCAGCTATTTAACATGATGGTTTCCGTTTTATATTATGTAAAATTAACAGCTACAGTAAACATATGGAGGCAAAAAGCTCATGAAACAGGCCACTGGAATGCACGGTCCAGTTTCTCTGTGCCATAGAAATATCCACGATTTAACAGACACTAATATTAAAAATGAATGGGAGCTCTTGGCTTGATTGCAAAATGTTTGTAACTCTTGCTGCAGTCACTTAATCAGCACTGATAAACAAGAGAACAAAAATTATGTACACAAAAAAGTGTAAACTTTTAAGAGCTGCTAGTTTCTTTTAAAAGGCAATGTGAAGGCACGCTGTTGTACTGAAACCAAGTCAAGAGTCTGAGCGCTCTTAATGAAGAAGGATAATGAGAATGACTGACAATCTTAATTAAACAATTCTCTTTCTCTTAATCAAATTTATGAATGAGAAATACATTTCTATTCTCACATAAGACTGTGCCAAGTGTGTGCTTTCTCAGGCTAATTCCAAGTATTCCATCATTCATCGCCTATCATTCAGCTTCTCGTGTTCAACCCAACGGTGCCCTACACTCTCAGTCCCTGATGGATGCTTGTCAGGGAATTGAACTAGCGACACACCAGAGACAGTTAATTAGAGGTGACATGAACAAGTACGTCAGTTTCAGATTCCTCTTGGTAAGCATGTCAAGGACACTGGGCTGTTGTGAGTTGGCATGAGTGACTGGTGGCTGTAATACACAAGCACAGCGGTGACTCACGGATGTGTGGTGGTATGTATGTGTGTTTTTGTGTTTGGTGCACAAACAGTAATACTAAATGAGGGTGCTTTAAGATTTAAATAAAGAGGTAATGAAGAAATAAAGCATGATTGTAGGTCTAGATTTGGATGTGTGTAGTATATGGTTGGGGGTAATCATGCATAATTCTAGTGTTCTGTTTGTATATCTAGATCGCTGTGAGTTTGTGTACATCTCCAACATACCAGCTTACTTCCGATGGGTCATGTCTTGCATAAAGGTGTGCATGTGTCTGCATGTGCCTAAATATTTGTCTAGGTGTGGTTGTATTTCAGGGTATGTATGTGTACCTGCTGCAGCATAACAGCCTGCTGCTGCTGGAGCAAGGCCTGGAGCTGCTGGGGAGAAAGCACCTGCTGTTGGAGGATCTGCTGCATCTGTTGCGGCGTGATCACCTGGGGACTCATCATGGCCACTGACACTGGAACCTGGATAGGGTGGAGTGAGAGACAGAACAGAGACAGTAAGTAAGAATCAGGCAGAAAGGGGGTTCATGAACAGGAATAGGTGTAAACCAGGTGAGAAAATTGAGAACACAGAAGAGAGAGGGATAAACAATGACAGAAAATAAGTGAAATGGATGGAGCAATGAGTAAAACTGGAGACAAATAGACCATCAGAAAAGTGCATCAAGCCTGCTAGTATGGGAGTGTACTGGGAGTGAGATAATTGGTGACTGAGAAGTAGGGAGAGCAGGCCTCCAATGGCCGTGACATCAGGCACCCTAGAGGAGACGCTGAAGGAGAGATGGGTTTCGCATCTTATTTTCCTGTTTCCACCCACTGAAAAAAGTAAGGGATTTAAATAGATATAGACCTTAATTAGCAGGACCCTTGAACTCCCTCATTTTGCCACGCCAATATGTGCTGGTATTGTGAAACAGCAAGAAAATACACAATTCTAAAGTTGATTAAAACTACACTGATGAAGTGGACATGTGGCAGGCACAATCAGCATGATGTGGTGGGTTGTCGCTGGGAGGTTAGGGGCTTCACCCTATGCAAATTTCTCTGTTGGGAGAAGGGGTGTAGCTACGACTTCTGGTGGGTGGGTGGATCAAGGTAGGTAGGGTTATTTAATAAGAAGAATAAAAAAAAAAACTGGAAACCGCAGTTTTGCACCTTTCTTTTGGTTTGAGTATGTTATGATACTATTCCACATTAAATGGCTCTCATTAATTTGAGGGTAAGCCAAATTAAAACCTATCCCCTTACCAACTTTATGTAAATGTAAAAGTCTGTTTGTCTATGAAACAGGGGTGGAACCATTCACAAATCCCACGCTTCAGATCCTATCATGGTTGTTTGGTGGTTGATTTTTTGGCTCAGCAAAATAAAAATCAATTAATATAAATTAATTTGGGGGGGGGGGGGGGCCCCAAAAACACAAATATAACTTTGTTATCATTAATTAATTAAAGAACTTAAAGATGTTGCCCATGGTTTTAGGTGAAAACAATATTCAAGATGTCCAATGTTTCAATAAAATCTTATGATTTTATCTTTATGAAAAATAAAATATGAAGATGTCTGCATTGTCTGGGGGGTAGACCTCATCGCAGTCAGTGACTCCACTCCTGCTGGTTTAGAGGTAAAGACATCACATTTCTTCAAGTTTGGGGTCTGCTCGTTTCATTAGCCGTTTGCCAAATTGCTCATACAGTCTCCTTGACTGACTGGCTGATTATGTTGCACCGTGATTAAGGAGCATTGTGAACGTGGACTCTGCTCACTTGTGTGTGTGTGAGAAAGAGAGAGAGTAAGAGAGCTACAGACAAAGAAAATGCAGTGGAAAAGCAAAGTGCAACCACCATATCAGACCTTCAAATTCTCTCTAGGTTCCCGATCAGGGAAAAGCTAATGTCTCCTGCTGTGCAGAACAACATCTTGTACTTGCTAGAAAATGAAGTGCCAGGGTGTCATCTTACTGGCAATTAATTTGCAGTTCACATATGTGCCAAACTGTGGGGGGGGGATCTGTACAGATCACGGACCAACTATGACCTGTTACACCACTATCATCACAGAGGATGGCTAAAGCATTTTATCTGAGGAACTAACTTCCATGTTAATAACATGTTCTGTCTGGTGCATTGCTGTTCTGCCTTCTTAAAAGCTCTGCACAACAAAATATAAACTATAAAATATTTCAGGGCTGGTGTTTAAACCCAAAATCCGCCCACCTGAATACCCCTTTAGTTGGAAGGGAGGGAAATATCAAAAAACAATAGTATGTATTGTGTTTTTTTTACCAGATGCCTTCTGCAGCGAACCAGTTTGTCAAGCTTTATATTAAAATGTAGACAAAAATTGTTTATTCCTGTCTGTTGACACACCGGTTTAAACAAGTAATGTAATTTTTTTGATAATTATTAAAATATGAGCTGTCAAGCTGCAGTAGCAAAACAAAACAAAATACATATTCTGCATTTCTACCAAATTCTTCTAAGGCGGCAGCAACGTCTGAAACAGCTGAACAGAAAAAGGATAGTTTTATCTTTGGTCTTTGATTGTGTGCACTTATTCTAACGAGGGGAATGTGGGCCAACAGCCATGGTGTGCATCAGCATCTTGTGACTGCTTTAAAATTGAACAGCACTTGTGGAGAAAAGATAATACTTTTGAATTTTGTTTACTTTTCAGTTATGAAAAACAATCAGAATAATTTTATATCCTGGCTCACTAGCTGATTCTCCCTCAGTGAGTAAGACACACACACACACACACACACACACACACACACACACACACACGTCTTAAGTTTTGTTGGGGCTGGATGCTGTATCATGTTTACAAAAATGTTTGACAGGCCTGCTTTATGCTGCTATAACACAGCAAAAATATCAACATGTAGTAACACCTTCAATGTTGATAAGTGTGACAGTACTTGGCAGAGAGCTGCCATGACAGTAGCTAGCCTATATGGTGTGTCAAGGGGCCAGTAAGACATCCCTGTCCTCATCGCCACCTAATCAAGCTGCCTTGATTACTTTCCATGCATGTCTCTCCTCCCTCTCTCCTTTTCTCCTTTCTCTCTCTCTCTCTGTCAGGCCTTGACACGTCCTTGTTTAGCTCTCCTCTCCTCAATGCCTACCCCCCACCCCAGGTTTTCCCCCCTCTTTGATTAGCTGAGACATTTGCATGGTCACTACACATTTTTCATTTTAGAAGTCATTATGCATTAGTGGCTCCTGATCGCCCGCCTTGACTAATCCTGATGAACTGAAAATCACAGCTGAAGGTCAACTTCCAGCCAGCCCTGCTGCACATTCATATTCATATTCAAACAAATCCTGCCTCCATTGTTCATTAGGGTCTTAGAGAGAAGGGACTCCATCTAAGGTGGAAAAGGTGGAAGAGGAGGAGGATGTTGTCGTACATGTCTTTTCTTCTCCAGACTCCTCAATGCAGGAGCACAAAAAGAAAATGCATTCACAATAAGCGGGGTGCTGAACAAAAGCCATCAAAAGTTGCAAATTAAACAGTTCGTGTGTAATTATGCAAATGCTGTGCTTACACCTTCAATGTTATTAACCCTTAAAGGTACATTTACTAGGCAAGTAATTACCCCTGAAGTCACTCCTGGTTTTGTGTAGGATGCCATGACAATAGGATGAGTGCAACTGAGAAACAACATGAGTGATGCACTCATTAAGACTATTAATTGGATGCTTACTCAAATTGGTTCTGGTTCACAAAAGGGATGCAGGCTTAAGCAGGTAGGATTTAACACAAATGTCTATATATATATATGTATAAAGCGGGATTCAATATACATTTTACATTGTGCTTCTAACACTTTCTTCACTATGTATGTATATGCAAAAATGTACCTGTAAATAGCCAATGCAGGGTTTCTGCAAAAAGGAATAAAACTGAACAAGACCATCAAATAACAGAAAAAATATAGAACAAAAACAGATTAGGAAATTGGGACATTCCAGTTATACTTTCATTTGATTTTTAGAGGCATAATAAGTGAAAATCCTCTTCATTTCACCACTGCTCTAAACAAAAAGAAGGGAAGAAAAAGGAGAAAAGGCAAGAGAGAGAAAGAGAGGGCAGAAAAGGCACTGGCCCACATCCATTGTGAAGTGCAGCACAATGCTAATTCCAGCATTTAACTGCATGCTTTTCTGCTTGACGTATCAGAGGCTCCAAGATGAAAGCAGATAAGTAATTGCTCTCCTGGTTCTTATTCTTCACTGACAACCCATAAATTTAATTTTACACACACGTTCATTTACATTTTCAAGTATATGACATGATAATTGCAGGAATATAACACCTCCATTCTACAGGATACTGCACCAGGGCTTGATTGACGTGAGCAGTGAATTGAAAGGAACAGGAGGCTGAATTGCCTCTCCCAGAAATGATTTTGCCACGAAGGGATAAAATTAATGAGCATTTACTAGACGATGGCATTGGCGTAAACATCCACACGCCATGAATAGACTCTTTCATTGAAGAGGAGTCATGATATCCAATTGGGCTGTGTTTCTCAGTAATCCAAAAGGCTATATTTCTAGTACTGGTGCACCAAAAATATTAATTGGTTTTATTAAATCGTTTGAAATAGGCCTCAGCTGATGTGGACTCTAGGGACTTTAATAACAGATAAGGTGCAGTAATTTTACTTTAACTCCAGGTTTACTGACACTTGTAAGAAAGATGCTGGTTTTTACTGTGCTCACCATTTGAACCCTTGTTTATGTCCCTCGTCTTAAAGAAAACAATGAGCTGTATTGACATGAACTTTGAAACCATGCGGTTTGCCCTCAGAGTTGGAAAGCACCTTTAAATTGGCTCCTGATGTGAAAACACCGGTGGGGCTCTCAGCAGAACAAGCAGATCATTACACCACTCTTGTCACATCCACAGCCTGTAACCAGCCACTCCAATGCCTACCAAAAGGTCAAGCTCCTCCTCTGCAGTGAGCTCAGGCACCTCTTCCATGCAAAGCTGGCACCCAAGTCTCTCGTTATGTTTGATTTAACTGGGCATTCTGGCAGAAATGCAAAAAAACCGCAGCCCCAGTATATGCAGCTCACTGGCTGGCTAACACAGCTGTCAGGCTCAAACTATCTGGACCAATGGACAAATGTACTTCCAGCAATTACACCGGCTCCACTGTATGACACTTTATCTTTACAGCAATGAGTTTTTATTAGTGAACTCAAATTACCTAGAGCTGGAGATAAGTGGTATATCAGAGTTCAAACTTAAACAATTAAGGCCCAGCAATGAGGAATCCCTGTTATTTGATTTTCTACCATACAATTTATTTAGAAGTAATAAGCTTGGGGAGAGCTGGTGATAACATGTTGGCCATAAACATTATGGGGGCAGTGAACATGGGGCGGTAATCAACGACAGAGGTTGTTCCTGTAGCGCTGGACAGGGGACCGAGCTGTGCTACAGACACA